GCAAGAATCGGAAAAGCAAGACAAGCTTTCATCACTCTCAAGTCTGTGTGGAGGTCAACAGCACTCAGGATGAAAATGAAAATAAGATCCGGATTTTCAACTCCAATGTGAAGTCAGTGCTACTATACGCATCAGAGACTTGGCCAGCGCGTCATAAAGAGCATCTGAAACAAACTACAGACCTTCAACAACAGCTGTGCGTCGGTGGCACAGTGGTTAGGACTCCCGCCGACCATGCACATGGTCAGGGGTTCGATCACCTGCCGACGCACTTCCGATATCTATGGTCGGCCTGTAAAATTTGGGCTACCGATATCCATGCTGAAAATTCCATACTTGTACTGAAAGTACGGTGTGGCATCAAGCTGTAAACAAAATAAAAAATAAATAAAAATAAATGAGATCAGATGCCCAGCCAGAAAAGATCAGCAACAGAGATCTCTGGGAGCGAGCCAACACAGCGAGACACGATTGTGAAACAAATAGGCAGGAAGAAATGGCGATGGATTGGCCCTACTCTGAGGAAGCCATCAAGTGACATCACTAGACAAGCGGTTGCTCGAGTGGAACCCGACTGAATGGGAAGCGGTGAGTTGGTCGTCAGTGCAAGGATGACTTGGAGGAGGTCATGTGAAGAGGAGATGAAAACGTGTGGGCAGACTTGGAGCCAGGTGAAGACGTTGACAGAGAACCGAACGCAATGGAGACACGCGGCTGAAGCCCTACGTTCCTCTAGGAATTAAAGGAAATAATAATAATATAATAATAAGATTTCGAGAGAATAGATGAGTCAGAAAGAGTCAGTGAAATACAATAAAATAAGTAAACCAGTTAGGTTGGAAATAACAGAGACCTTACCATGACAGTGGAAGTGGATGGAAGATTTTCTTTTGTATGCAAAACTCCAATTTCTCCACCTGGATGGCTAAAGCTTCGGAAATACGGAGACGGCGAAGGCGTATCACGTTAAACAGGTTACTTTTCACTTAGAAGATCACTTTGAAGGGGAGAGTTTGCTGAAGTAGAACTACCAGTGTCTCCAAGGCGTTCGATTATTGCATTGCCATCCAAGTTAAACTTTAAGCAGCACTAACTACCAATCACGTGAAGGGGGCATTTTTGTGTATGGAATACATGTATATTTATGAAATAATGCATAAAATCTGTAGAAAATTGTTACAGAGGATACCTTCCTCTCACATGTGATAAAGATAGCTCTCATTTTTGGGTTGATGTATCAAGAGAGTCTAACTCCATTGTGGGTAAAATTTATTTTGATAAAGTCTCATATTAATACAGTTATATTTCCTGAGCAATAAATTGTACTCGAAACGTTGTCATCAGTAAGTATTACTGTATAACACTATGAGACTTTATTAAAATAAATGTTACCCATAGTGGAACTATACTCTACCATAATGCACAAGTACTATTCTTATATCAACAGAGTAATTTAACCACATTCTATGTCTGTAATCATTTAGGTCTTCTAACCCTGAAAATTGGCAGCGTATACAAACACAAGGATATTCACAAGGCTACATGGGTGTCACCAGACAGGGCAAACCAAAAACCAAATTGAATTCATCTCAATCTCAAGGAAGTGGAGGCGCAGCCTACTTGACACAAAAGTAAGAAGAGGAGCAGACGTTGGCTCAGACCACTACCTAGTACAAGGAACACTCCAAATCAAATTAAAAGCTTTCAGAGAAACAAGAGCTGCGAATAGACCACAAGCCAAGTTCAACACTCAAAAACTGAAGGACCAGGACACAAAGGACATTTTTACTGCAAGCATAAAGGACAAAGCTGAGACACAAATCAACACTAGCGAAGAGGTCAGCGTCGAAAAACACTGGGACAACCTGAAAGCGGTATGGAGCGAAACCTGCATGGAAGTTCTGGGCAGAAAGAAGAGACAGGACAAACCGTGGCTCACTACGGACACTTGGAAACTAATGGAAGAGAGAAGGATGGTGAAACAAAAGATTATCCAATGCACCGACGAGCAACAAAAACAGGATTTGAATGCAAGCTACAAGACACTGAACAAAAGAGTAAAGAAGAGTGCCAGAGAAGACAAAAGAAAGTACTATGAAACCATGGCAAGTGAGGCAGAACAAGCTGCAGGCAAAGGAGACCTCGCAACACTCTACCAAACAACTAGGTACCTATCGGGCAAACGTTTGACACAAATCAAGCCGGTGAAGGATGACAATGGAAAGTCACTCAACAAAGAAGTGGAGCAAAGGAAACACTGGGATGAACACTTCAAAAGACTCGTACATCGACCATCACCTACAACGCGCGCCAACAGTACCAACGACGGAGACAGAGCTACCAGTGAACACCAACCCCCCGGCGAAATCAGAAGTCCTGAAGGCAATCAAGATGCTAAAAGCTGGAAAAGCAGCAGGACCAGATGGAATCCCAGCAGAAGCATTGAAAATGGACCCAGAGACAAAAGCGGACTTGATGACGCCACTACTGGAGAAGGTATGGAAAGAAGGCAAAATACCCGAGGATTGGAAGAAAGGATACTTATTCAAACTACCAAAGAAAGGAGACCTAAGTCAATGCAAGAACTGGCGCGGAATTATGCTCCTGTCCATCCCAAGCAAAATACTAAGCCGCATCATCCTGGAAAGGATCAAACAAGCCCTGGATGAAAAACTCCGACCGGAACAGGGTGGATTCAGGAGAAACAAGTCATGTATTGATCAAATCGCCACACTACGGATCATCATTGAACAAAGTTTGGAATGGCAGTCACCTCTCTATCTCAACTTTATCGACTTTGAAAAGGCCTTCGACAGCGTCGATCGAGAGGTGATTTGGCAACTACTTGTGTGAGTCCATTTTATGCCTGTTTCCTCATTGCCCGCTGTTTGCCGCATTACCCAATCTACTGCAATCAGAAAAATCACTGGTGATAGTAGGCAGCCTTGTCTTACTCCTGTCCTCACTTCGAAGGATTCCTTAAGTTTCCCGATATGGATTACTTGGCATGCAGCATTGTCGTACAACTGTTTATTTTTTATTTATTTATTTTTTTATTTTCGATTACAGCTTGATACCACACCGTATTTTCAGTACATGTATGGAGTTTTCAGCATGGATGTATATGAGATGTATAATTGTCAGAGGCACCCCAACGATAACATGGACCTCAACAGTCGTCATTCCACAAAGAGCGGAGACGTCAGATGATATCAGAAGAGTACTCAATCAGTTCTACATTAGAGTTTTCTTCAAAACAACAGACACTGCAAAACAACCTTGTCCATATAAAAGACTAAATCCCTAGAGATTCTCTATCTAATTGTGTCTATAAAATAAAATGCTTGCATGGAGTGTGATGCGATATACATCGGACAAACACCTCGAGAAATCAAAATCAGAAGGAATGAAATCCAAAGAGCATCTGCTCGACCACCGAGAAATCTAGTTGAACTAGAAAAGCTTGAAAAATCATCAGCCATATATCCGTCTACACGCTATAGAATCAGGCCACAAAACTGATTTTGACAATATTGAAATCATCATCCAGGAAAAGCATTTCAGAAATCACAAAGAACGTCTAACATCATCAGAAGCACTTCATATCAAGTGGAATCCAAATTGTCAGAATAATCTGAATAATGGACTTAAACAGAATTTGACCTGGTTACAACACCCCATACCGTCTCCCATGAAGTGACAAAATCAACACGAATGTGATAAGCAAGTTCACTTTGTAAACACACGCTGTTTTATAATTTTACAAAATTATCAAATCCAACAATGTACACCTGGTTTTGTTATCTTTACCAATTGGCCAATTTGACGACGAAAAATGACCTCATACTGAGGAACGATGATTAAGTTGTGATAAATATATATGTGCTGTGTAGATTTTGTAAATTCTGGTTTGATAATACCACTTTGATAAAGCTATTAGTAGTAGCATTAAATAGCGAAACGTCAGTAAACACAACAATATCGTTTTGTTTTTCATTCATTGGGAAATACAAAACACCTTTACTATAATGAAAGAATAGTTTTTATTATAATTATTGTTCCCTTGGGTTCCTAGTGGAACATAGGGATTCAACTGCACGTCTCCACTTGCTTCTGTCTTCTGCTGTACTTTTCACCTGCATCCATGTTAATCCATACTGTTTCAACTCCTCTTCACACGATCTCCTCCATGTCACTCTTGGACGTCCCACACGCCGCTTCGCTTTCGGGTTCCACTCGAAAAATGGGCTGACGCGCGATGTCACCCAGCGGCCTCCTCAGCGAGTGTCCAATCCATCTCCACTTTCTCCTGCATATTTGTTGGGCGATTGGTTCTTGTCTTGTTTGTTCCCATAGTTTCTTGTTGGTGATTCTTTCCGGCCATCTGATCTTCAGTATGGAGAGAAGACAGTTGTTGATAAAAGTCTGCAACAGGCTGTTGGAAAGATTCTTTGTGACCCGCCAAGTTTCTGATCAGTATAGCACTATACTAAAAATTAATGAATTTCGTGTTTGACGCTATCGATGATGTAACACGTGACAGTTGAACATTTCATCATCTAAATTGTTCCTTTCATCACATACATGATTTTTTTATTATTTCATTGGTTGGTTTGTCGCATTCTTAAACACTCGTCTTTTTAAAAAACATATGCCCAAAAATCGAAGTATCCTTCTTAGTTTTGAGTTCATTCTTTTTTTCTCGTAATACATGTGTTGGAGTAGGGATAGTTTATTGTTCTGTTAATCTATGTGTGTATGTCTATACAACAGCCATGAGTAGTAGTATTCTTTTTCAAGGTCACACAATTTCATTGGTAGGCATACTCTCTTTTTTCCCAGTCTAAATAACCTTGTATGAAGTATAACTGACTGGTTGGATAGATGAAAGAGACGATAAAAGACAATGTAAAATTGATTAGACCATAAGTAGGTATACCGTTAGATTTTTAATTTTCTAATTACAACTTTTCCTAATTATGTAGTAATGTGATATAGAAATGGTTAATAAGGAGAATTCAATATTTTCATTTTTACCAACTATCTGGAAATCTGGTAAGTTCCATAATTGAATTCTGGTCTTCTCTTTTATTTTTCTCTATTGAATCCATCCATCAGTTTTGATTTTCTCTAGTATCTATCACATTAGTGAATACAGTGTGATAATAACTGTATATATAACATGCAAGTGTTGGTTTGTAGGGATTTGATTGGTTACAGGGTTTCATCATGAGCTGACATTAGTTAGAGAACCATTGGAAAACCTGGGAGTAGTGGACAGCTGTTTCGTCCCAGTTTGTGTGCGTACTGATGAAGAGTCCCAAAATAGGACGAAACAGCTGTCCAGTACTCCCAGGTTTTCCAATCATTCTTAAACTAATGTCAGCTCATGATGAAATCCTGTAAATGTAGCACTTTTGTTTGATTTTAAATTTACCGACCGCCAAATGGATTACAGACTTTACAGTTACCATTTTATTACGGGTTCAGGTCCATTAGTTGAAGGTAGAATATTACCATTTGGCTGAATATCGAGGAATGTGTGTGTGGTTCACGAGATTTCTTGTGGGATTTCTAAAGTCACTCGGTGTTTTAGTCGTCTTAGATCTTTCCGCTCGTTACAAAACAATTTCCCTAGTAGGCGAATTAAGGTATTTTGAGCCAGAAAATCTTATCGTCAGTACTGAGTGATGTAGAGTGATGAAGGCTTGTAACTGCAAGTTAATATAATTTTCAGTGTGTATGAAATCAAGGTTCTTTGACACTAATTACCAATGTAATGGTGAATTTGTTTAGGCGCAAATATTGATTACCTGACACATCTTTCATGCATGATTTTCCCTTAACGAATAATAATAATAGCTTTATCCTCAAACAATGTTGATATAATGCACAGAATTTTCTGCGGAGATTATTCCACGATATTTCCTCTTCGCCCAGGATTCTCAAATAAAGCATTAACTAACAGTAGACAAGGCAGCATAGTTCCATCTAACCTGAAGCGCAAATCAATGCCTTATGATATCCCTTCTTTTTCTCCTCTAAGAAATACACGATATTTGGTTGAATGCCAATCATAAAAAGTGCAGGAGTACATTTTGTGAACCAAAAGCATAACATAGGAATGGTCATTTATTTCGTTGGCTTCTCATCAGTTTCTGCTTACAGCCTAAACAAATTATGAGGTCTATGTACAGAAAAGTTTTAACATACTTGCAAATTTTACATGATGTCATGATAAATTACATTACATTACATATTACATATCATTTCATGGTAAATCTGGTTTCAAGCTTAAAACCAGATATATGTGTTCAGAAAGAAGCAGTTATTAGCCTTTCCTTGCCCTGGTAATTGAATTTCTTTATTCTCTCATCTGATTGCGTAATCTTTGTCTTTAACCTCACCCCTCTTTTTTATAATCTGTAATTTTGCTTGTCTCTTGTTTCCATGATTTGAGGTGAACTCAGTACATTGTTACCTAATTTACTAGTCACTCATCATCTTACGCATCTCTCGTCTTTATTACGTAACTCCTTTACCATTGTATGCATACATTTACTTTGTTTAAACCTGAACTCCTTGTGTTAAAACGACATAAGCGCAGTTTTCTGAGCACTGTTCACTAACTGTTGAGCTTTCTGTCAACTAATATCATGAAAATTTGCTAGTATGTTAAAACTTTTCTGTACATAAACCTCATAATTTGTTTATGCTGTAAACAGCAACTGATGAGAAGCAAACGAAATGAATGATGGTACCATATTATTCTGCACAAACCACTGCTGCTCTTGCTTTATTCAAGTTGAGAAAAGTCTTGTTTTAATTTTCAAAGAACGCTGAATATATTTAAAATAACTTTGTAATGAAGATAACAAACTAAAAATATGAAAAAAAGTAGTAAAACTATCACTGAAATTTTTAAGATAAACAACTATCCAAGGATTTTTATTTTTTTTTCCTGGATAAGCATGAATACTCGAAAACATTCTGGAAAAATCTGAGACAAAACCATATTTCTCCCAATTCACGCATGCTCAAAAGACAGCAGTTTTAATAATATTTGCTAATTTCTTGGAAGAGTTTATATGTCTGTCTACAACAGTAATGCACAGAATTTTCTGCGGAGATTATTCCACGATATTTCCTCTTCGCCCAGGATTCTCAAATAAAGCATTAACTAACAGTAGACAAGGCAGCATAGTTCCATCTAACCTGAAGCGCAAATCAATGCCTTATGATATCCCTTCTTTTTCTCCTCTAAGAAATACACGATATTTGGTTGAATGCCAATCATAAAAAGTGCAGGAGTACATTTTGTGAACCAAAAGCATAACATAGGAATGGTCATTTATTTCGTTGGCTTCTCATCAGTTTCTGCTTACAGCCTAAACAAATTATGAGGTCTATGTACAGAAAAGTTTTAACATACTTGCAAATTTTACATGATGTCAGTTGATAGAAGGTTCTGCAATTAGTGAACAGTGCTCAGAAAATTGCGCTTATATAGTTTTTACACAGGGAACTCAAGTTTAAATAAAATAAATGTATGCATACAATGGTAAAGGAGTTATGTAATAAAGACTAGAGATGAGTAAGATGCTGAGTGACTAGTAAATTAGATAACAATGTACTGAGTTCAACTCAAATCATAGAAACAAGAGACGAGCAGAATTACAGGTTATAAAAGACAGAGATTACGTAATCAAGGGAGAGAATAAAGACATCCAGTTTCCAGGGCAAGTGAAGACTAATAACTGCTTCTTTCTGGACAAATAAATCTGGTTTCAAGAGTTTGATAGAAACTGCTTCGGCAAACTTGAGGAGAATCAAGCTCCTTTGTCTATTGATAAATTTATAGGATTTCACGATTTCCACGTCATGATCCGTATTGAGGAGATGTTCCCTTGAGACGTAGGCTTTTCGACACATGTTCAGTAAATCGGAAGTGTGCCATTCTTTCTGTTCTCCTAATGTAACTGCTCCCGCAGATGCATGTAAATTCGTATACACTGTTGGAGTTAATATGAGAAGGGTATCTGTCGACTTTTGACTGCACCAAAGACCATGGTGTTCGATGGACGGGAACCAACTTAGATTCAGGATAGGCTGTGGCTAGTGACGTACTCAGTTTTCTGTTGACCATTGCTGCAATGTTTTCACCTTTAAAATCTAATTGAGTGAAGACAGGCTTTTTTTCAACTGTGATTTGTTTGATATTTGAGCCATCACATTTCCCATATTTGTTAATGAATCTTTGAGGATAACCGCCATTTCTCTGCAGAGCATATTCTCCTCGCTCTGAAATTTTTCTGGATGATGATTTCAATATTGTCAAAATCAATTTTGTGACCTAATCCTATAGCGTGTAGACGGATATATGGCTGATGATTTTTCAAGATTTCCTAGCTCAACTAGATTTCTCAGTGGTCGAACAGATGCTCTTTGGTTTTCATTCCTTCTGATTTTGATTTCTCTCTGGCGATGTTTGTCCGATGTATATCACATCACATCCAAGAAAACTCTAATGTCGAGCTGATTGAGTACTCTTCTGATATCATCTGACGTCTCCGCTCTATATGGAATGACGACTGTTGAGGTTTATATTTTCGGAATCCGTTTTCGACCATTGTTGACGTCATAGTTGATTTTGTTGATGAAGTTCGTTGGATAGTTGTTTTGCTTGAGAGTTTCAGTAATTTTCGATATTTCTTCTTTTTCTGTCTCATCTGTTTTCAGCGAGTGTGCTCGTGTAAGTAGACTTGAAACAACTGATAGGATCCCACACACTTTGTTATTGTTCAATTATTTTTAATCACTGTTAATCTCGCATAAGTGGTATATCATCATTTCCCACGCATTTTGTTATTGACTATTACGACCAATTATTTCAAATACTGTTAGCTGTCTGTATTGGTTGTAAAAATGTATAAATACCATTTCCTAAATAAGTTTCTTTGTCGTCGTCATAGTTTGTCGTAGTTGTTGTACTACAATACACAGTCACAGACCAGACTTTGTCTTTTGATATTTGCGTGGTTCGCTGAATCGGAAGGTACCAGAAGCAGATAGGCATATTAGTCAGGCGCAGACAGAACAAGGCGACAACGTCCTCATTTAAATCCCCTACAGTTACAACAAATTGGCGAAGGGGTTTACTTTAATTCATCGCAGTTACAACAACAACTGATACCTTTGCTCTGATGGGGTGTGATAATCTGAAGTCTAAATATTTAATGGAATGCGTTTTCTTCCTGAATATAGATTTGTTTGTTTGATGATGGGTTTGTTGATGGTTGGGGGAGGGGGGGTAGAATGTTCTTCAACCACGCATTTTATTCTAGGTTTGGTCCCTGCACTCCCTAAACTCTCCTAGTCAGTAGTAATCCCGGTAAAGGAAGTAATAAAATCAGTGCTATCAAAAATCCATATCTGAACGCAAAGGAAGAAAATCTGAAGAAACTTTTAGAAAATTTCGTTTCTCTGGTCAGCGTAACTTGTGACTTCCCTAATTTGTTAATTGTTCTTAATGAAATCACTCAATACTGATCACCCACCTATAAAAAACCTTATTTTCGCCAAAATGGTGTATACAGCTTCAATTCAGTGTTCAAACAGAACTTTAAAGTGATCTTATTTTCACTTATCGCGCATATGGCGCGACTTCAATTCCTGGCTGCCTCAGTTCCTTGCCCCACGCCATAAAAGTAATACTTACGCAGCTGAAATTTGAAGGCTCCTTACCTGGGGACCTATTTTCCACTCCGAACTCAATGAATATATATATATATGCATATGAATGTTTTAAAAGAACCTGTGTGACAACTTCTCAGATGAAAATGTGGGATTAAGAGATGATGAAAAATATTAGATGAGTTTATTGGAAATAACACGGTAATGCAGTATTAATCAATGAATAACATTTCGAGCACAAGTTATTGCTCACAATCATATCAATTTAGTCACACAACCTCATGATTTGCCTTACATATACTTCTCTCTCTCTCCCTCTTCCCCTTGCATTTTGTTACAACTTTACATAATTTTTTTTAATAATAATAATCTACTTTATTCCAAAAACAGTACTTATAATACAGAATGGAATTCTCAGCATTTGTCACAATATTGCATCTGATTTACTTAGAATATAAATAAAATTAAAAATTAAATCTAAAGTAACCAGAGGAATTTGTCCATGTTTACGATATAAAGTCAAAAATATTCGAAGCACGAATTGAAACCATTAAATATAAAAATAATAATAATAACAGTGAGTTTGTTTGAAACAGTATTGTCAATTCAGTTTGGAAACTTTAGCATGTTATAGATTATTGGATTTAATGTTCTGTTGATATAGTATGGTGAGGGGAAATGCAAAATTAGCAGTTATAACACAGCTTAAATGATGTTCATACTTATGAAATAATAAACAAAAAAAAAAAATTGAGAGGATTATAAATATAAGGGAAACAATAACAATAAAGTTTGATGGTGTAAGGGTGGATGAAATTCTTTATTTAGTAGTGCAAAGAAGGTTAGTTAGTTCATACCTGACACTATTTTCATCACATAAAGTATGTGTCAAATATGGTATAGTGGGATTTATATACTTCGACGTAGATGTATAAATTCTTTTGAAATGACTTCTTGTTTTACCTGAGGAGACACAAGGTTAGAGCTGTGGGTAAAGTGGATGCTCAGAGTCTGATCAAATTCCTTTAGCAATTTTATTGCGTGACATCAACTGCCTATCAATGATAATGTCAACGATATGGCCCAATATAAAAACACTCGTCCTACTGACAGTCTTCAGAGTTCTGCGAAGTATGACATAGTCTCTTTTAAGCAATCCAGGAAAGAATCAAGGGTGAACAGTAAAGAAGAATAGGTAAGATGCATGAGTTGACAAACTGTAAGAGGAGGGGTTGAAATATACCTGAGCGCTTTAACTTCTTAATGTAAAAAGTAAGAATAAATATTCTTTTAGAAATTGCTAAGACATAGGAAGACCAGGATAGATCAGTAGAAAGAATTAATCCAAGATACTTAACTTCAGACTTGATTTCTATATCAGTATCATCAGTTTTGCAACGGTCGTAGGGATTAACAGCTTCATTTAACTTTCTTTTACATCAGAAACTGAAATTAACAGTCTGAAATTTGGAAGGATTTAGTTTAAGACCATTAGACGAAGATCATTTGCTAATTCCTGATAGAAAGCTGTTCATCTTAGTACAGTTTAGCTGGGAGTTAACAGACATTGAAATAGTTAGATCATCGGCATACTTACCAAAGTTGATTTCATCAGAGTGAGGCAAGTCATGCAAGAAGAGAGAAAACAGAAAAGGAAGAAAGAAAGCACCTTGAGGGACACCAGCCTCCGGTGTTGCGTCATTTCGATTGCATGTGTGAGGTGTTGAATCGATAAACAAAGAATCAGTGACTAGCCTGTCTCTCTCCACCTAACTATATTACTTTACAGTACTTTCACCCTGTCCTACTCCACTGTGTGATTGCAAGTGAATGCATTGTAATGGCTGAGTCTTTTTTCTAGATTATTAAAAACAGCAGGGTCAATAACTTTTTTTTAAATAATAGCTTGACTCCACATGGTGAGTCCGTGGCATAGTGGTTACGACGTTCGCCGACCATGCACATGGTCCGGGGTGTGATCCGCGGCCGATACACTCCCTCACTATGCCAAACCAGAAATTAAGCTGGTAAAGAGGAAAGGTTGGGCATGAGGTTCAGAACCTCATCCTTTAAAAGTAATCACCACTGCTACCGAAACTTCAGGCCCCTAGCTTGAAGCCCTATGTTCCAATGGGAACGTGAAGGAATAAAAAATAATTAAAAAACTTATTTCATTGTAATTGGTAGATTATATTGTTTTTCCTAATTGGTTCTATCAGGACCTTAAGCCGACAAAATCTGACCCTGAGTAATTTGATTGGTTGATTTATAAATGCCACGCTAATTCAAGCCTCATTGAGAATCCTACGTAAGGCTTTATATATGCTTAGAATTCCCATGAAAACAGTTAATTTCACGCAAGGACTATCATATCGATTGATCACCAGCGCGGTCTATCATACATACACAGACTGATTGCCCACGTAATAACTGCATATAAATAAGATTAGGGATTTGGAAAAAAAGTATCATCACATGAATGTTATTCAACAATGATAATAAATTACTTTTCACAAAAATATGAAAAATATATATTATTCATAAATTATCATATTAAAATTTTTTCATTTCCATTAATCAAACCATGACTGTAATGAGAAAAACTGAAGTTTTTTTATATACGTTTAATTTGTCTAGAAATGTGCTTAAGAGTTAAAGAAATTCAGTGTATTTAATTGTGTTACATAATCATATTTGCATATAGATTGAAAGGAGAGAAATGAGAGATTTATGTAAATTTTCCTAGTGTGGTGTATGCTACTCACAAGGATTTAAAAGTAGTATATTATGTGGGTTGTTGTTTTTTAGGGGAATATTGAACAACAAGGAGACTGATCAAATTGTAAATAAATATGTGAGATTCAGTGTGACGTTGCTGTCATCTGACTTATGAGTTCCTCATTCACCCATGATCTAAATCTGTCGACCAAATGAGACTACTTAATCGAATGAGGGATTGGCCCCAGGACTACACTCGTGATAGAATTCATGTTCCCTTTGTGATCCCGCCTACACCTGATACTTGATTACTATCCAGATATGCATGTGAAACCTAGTTCCAGAGTTTTTTCATTCCTTTACGTTTCTAGTGTGGAACGTAGGGCTTGATGTTTCTGTAACAGTGGTGATTATTTTCTACAGCATGAGGTTCTAAGCCTTATGCCCAACCTTCCCTCTTTGCCATTCTTACTACTTACTGTCTTAGAGAGGTAAATGAGTGCGTCGGCCGGGGATCGAACCCCGAAACACCTGCGTGGTTGGCGAACATTCTACCACTGTGCCACTGACGCTAGTTCCAGAGTGAATAAATCCTAATAGGAATAGAACAGTGGTGAAGTCATCAGCTACGAATCCAGATGACTCAGGTTCAAATTCCGTGGTGTGCATAGGTTTCTTCAAGACTGGAGATTCGTTTTGTTAGGGAATTTCAACAATTAAGAAAACTAAGGTGAAAAAGGTCTCCTGAAAGTTGACTTCTACATTATATATTGTGATAACTAGTGCAAAGAAGACTTTTCTATGATTCAATTTTTCTATTCTGAGATTCGTTAGTTCGAAGTGAGTGTATGTGCTTCTCATAACATGTTAGGTACTCGTTTAATACGTTGAATGATCAAAAAATGTATTTATGAATGCTAAATGATGGACTCACACAAAAAACTTGGAAGATCTGGACTTCTCCCGTGATGATATATGTCTGATTTCCCACAAACTGGAAGAAATGTAAACGAAAAGCAACAAGTTGGCAGAAGAAGCGTCAAAGATAGAATGGATTTCAGGTGAACATAGACAAAACAGAGGTGATGAAGATTCCTGGTCAACACCACCAACAGCATGAATAACAACAGACAACAATCAGCGTAAGTGGGAGGAACCTGAAAGAAACAACCTCTTTTACCTACTTGGGAAGCATCGTCTCAACTACAGGCAGAACTGACTTGGATATCAAAGCAAGAATCGGGAAAGCAAGACAAACTTTCACTACTCTCAAGTCAGTGTAGAGGTCAACAGCACTCAGCATCAAAAATAAGATCTGGATTTTCAACTCCAATATGAAGTCAGTGCTACTTACTATACGGATCAGAGACTTGCACTGCGCGTCATAAAGAGCATCTCAAACAAACTACAGACCTTCATTAACTGTTGTCTTCGCCCAATACTCAAGATCAGATGGCTGGCCAGAAAAGATCAGCAACAGAGAGGGATCTCTGGCAATGAGCGAACCAACACAGCAGGAATCGATTGTGAAACAAATAGGCAGGAAGAATTGGAGATGGATTGGCCATACTCTGAGGAAACAATGCATCAAGTGACATCACTAGACAAGCCATTGCTCGAGTGGATCCCGAAAGGGAAGCAGCGAGTTATTCGTCCAAGTGTGACTTGGAGGAGGTCATATGAAGAGGAGATGAAAACGTGTGGGCCGACTTGGAGCCAGGTGAAGACTCTAGCAGAGAACCGAACGTAATGGAGACGCACGGCTGAAGCCCTATTTTCCTCTAGGAATTAAAGGAAATAATAAATAAATAAATGATGTACTTATATCTTGTCGATTCGTTGTTGACTCTTGGTTCTTATATAAATACGAACTTTACAAAGTTTGTAGCTAATTTTCACTAATACCATGCACTTAGCTGACAAGTTCTTATCATAATATAAAACCCAATGTATGTAATACTGCAGCATATTGACGATTCATGCAAGAAACAGTTTACACTGTAATGTTAACACTGGACAGGAATATTTACCAATGAAGGAAGAGTGTTAGTTAGTGACTTCCTGCCAACCAAAAATATAACCATCGAATGACGTCAGTTTGAGACAGATCAAAAACCAGAAGGCTCAGAACAGCTGTTTCGTCCTAGTTTTTGACTCTTCAGCTGTTCATACGCATGGACTATCTCACTGGGAATTGAACCTCGGATCTTAACTGTAACTTTGATCAGTTTGTCATGAAATCAAACCCACTTCAAGATTTTCACATCCCTCAGTATTTGAGTTTTTATGATTTTATTATATTTTAATTTTATTCCTTTTCATTCCCAGTGAAATGTAAGGCTTCAATCTGGAGGTTCGAAGTTCCATTAGTAGTAGTGTTTATTCTTTACGAGTTGGATTTGCTAGCTAACCTCTACCAAGTTAGCGAGATTTAGGGGTGGATCAGCTGGAGGTCGGACCCCAGACTACATAGGTCAGTATTGTGCCACCGACTCCAGCATTTGAATACTTGATTCCAGCTTGCTAGATTGATACAGTAGCGCAAATCTAAGGATAACAAGTTTAAATACAATACTAATGAAACTTTTTCCGACATTTTTTAATTATTATTTCATTTTTTTATTTTCAAATATTTCAGATGAAAATAAAACATTTTGTAAACATGATGACTTGTTACATGGATTGAAGTTAAGTGTTAAAACGCTTATGGAACATGCTGCAGTTTGTCGTTCAGTTCCTGAAGATAGTACCGTTGTGATTGACTTCTGTGGTAAGCAAGATTTGTAAGAGAAAAGATAAACTAATTTGAACACTGTCATTTGTTGTGAGTAATTGTGCAGATTTTCAATTTGGAAAGGATTAGTTTATTTTTTGGTTTCATGTCATTTCATTTGCATTCTGGACAATATTTTTGATAGAAGATCCCACTGTTTAGTGTTTACGTTTCTGAAGTACATACTACTGAATGAATATATGGAAAGAACAAACTATTTTTGGGGGATTTCATCATTTGATAAGCTGAAATGAATTGAACTCATCTTTTAATAATAATAATAATAATAATCTACTTTATTCCAAAAACAGTACTTATAATACAGAATGGAATTCTCAGCATTTGTCACAATAACTTGCATCTGATTTACTCAAAATATAAATAAAATTAAAAATTAAAACAAAATTAACCGGAGGAATTTATCCACATTTACGACATACTTATTAGATAAAATAATAATAATAACAGTGAGTTTGTTTCAAACGGTATTGTCGATTCAGTTTGGAAACTTTAGCATGTTATAGATTATTGAATCTAATGTTCTGTTGATATAGCAGCATGGTGAGGGAAAATACAAAATTCACAGTCATAATACGGCTTAAAATAATGTCCACACCTATGAAAAAATAAAAAATAAACAAAACGAAAAAATTGAGAGGATTATAAATATAAGAAATACAATAACAATAAAGTTTGATGTTGTAAGGGTGAAGGAAATGGTTTATTTAGTGATGCAAAGAAGGTTAGTTAGTTCATTTCTGACGCTATTTTCATCACATAAAGTACGTGCTAAATATGGTATAGAGGGAATTTTATACTTCGACGTACTTGCATTAAGTCTTCTGGAAAGACTTCTTGTTTTACCTGAGGAGACACTAGGTTGGAGCTATGGGTAGAGTGGGTGCTCAGAGTCTGACAAAATTCCTCTAGCGAATCTGTTGCATGACATCAAATGCCTATCAGTGACAATGTCAACGATATGGCCCAATGGGATACCACTCGCCCGGCTGTCAGTCTTCAGAGTTCTACGATATATAACACAGTCCTTTTTAAGCAATCCAGGAGAGAATAAGCAGGGGTGAACAGTAGAGAAGAATAGGTAAAATACACGAGTTGATAAACTGTAAGAGGAGGAGGGGTCGAGTTATGCCTGAGTGCCTTAACTTCTTAATGTAAAAAGCCAGACGAAATATTCTTTTAGAAATCGCTAAGACATGAGAGGACCAGGATAGGTCAGAAGAGAGAATTAATCCAAGATACTTAACTTCAGACTTGGTTTCTATATAAGTATCATCGATTTTGCAAGGGTAATGAAAGTCTACACACAAGTGTGTAGCACTTCATGCTGCCATATTTCATAAAGGACACATAAAAGTTGAGAAAAAACAGAAGTGCAACTATGGGGTTGTGTTCTTTGAGTTGGGTGGTTTAAATGCGAGTATGTGTATGCATGCCAGTGTAAAGCCATACAAATGAACTCGATGATATGAGCCTGCTTGCTAAACTCATCTCTGTCCACTGTCTGTAATATCTTCAAGGGAAGGTTCTGTCTAAAGATTTTAACGAGATATTTTAAAAGTACCTGCAAGCTGCAAATTATATCAACATATTCAACCTCAGGTATACTTTTGTTCAGACAAAGTCATTTTCAAGGTCCAAGGATCGATTCCCAGCCGGAGCATTCTTAAACCTCACCTAGCCTGTATTAAGCCCGACAAAGAGGGAGAGTTGGGCATGAGGTTAGCAACCCCATCTCGTAAAAATAAAACTACTGATCGTGAAACTTCAAAGCTGAAGTTTGAAGCTCTAAATTCCACGCAAAACGTAAAGGAATAAAGTAAAATAATAAAAATAAATTTTCAAAATAAATAAAGGTAGAATTAAACTTTATCTTGCAGTACAGTACATGAATAATAAGAAACTACTCATGTTAACCAGTTTAGTGTCTACTAGGAAGACTGAGGTAATCTAGAAATCAGACCAACATTTCTCTGTATTGAATGCTTACTCATCAGTAGTTCAAATGGACTGTCTCAGATCAGAGAAGTGTGTCATATCAGGGGAAAAAAATCAATTTCTGTCTAGATACTTAGGAGAACCAGTAACCCAATAACCTTAGTAAGGTGTTTTATAAGTACAGAATTATAGAAGAAGCTGAACAGTTTGACTTTCTTGAGACCACTTACGGAGTCAAGAAAGCGATCAAAAGTGTGACTTGATATACCACTCCACTGGTTGATATAAGCATGATTGTCGGTGGAATGCCATTTTACATTCAATGAGTTATTAGTTTACATAAGTAGCCTACTGAGCACTGAGTATTTTGAGTTGACTTAATCTAGGCTCACTACTGATGAGCTTGATCTTAAAGGGGTAAACGGGCTTTTAGTGGTTTATCCATCCACCTTGTTACCGCATTATGTGCTGAATTTCTATTCAGCTTACTAAGTGTTATATTTCCCTTAGGTTCCGAGTGGGAAACAGGGGTTCAACAGAATTCTACATTTCAACCCGTTCTCTGCAGTCCACTTTAGTTGGCTTCACGATTGCCACGGGCCCTTATTTCCTCCACACACGATCTCCCCTACGTCACCTGATTCATCTCCTACTCGGTTTCCAATCGAGTGATAGCCTGGCGCAATGTCACTCAACGGTCTCGTCTATCTTCGTTTCTCTGAGAATATTTGATGGGCAGTAGGTCCTTGACCGCTTCGTCTCTAGAGTTTCTTGTTGCTGATCATTTTTGACAGGCCACCTGGCCTTCATTATGGCGCGAAGTCAGCTGTTGATAAAAGTCTGCAGTGACCTGTTGGAAATGCCATTTTTTTAACAATGTCTAGAAGCTCTGACTTGACATTTCTGTTGATAATCCGGATCTTGTCCCTCATGTTGAGTGCAGTAGGTTTTCACACTGATAACAATAATAATAATAATGGCGACACCAACAATAAGGAATCTAAATCATCAGTAGTAATTCCATACAAGGAAGGAACCTCGGAAGCCTTACGCAGAATTCTCAACAAGGCAGGAATAAAAACGGCATTCAAACCCACAAACCCAATTCGAAACAAGCTTTGTCGGTTAAAGGATCCTGTAGAGCCTTTAAAACAAAACAATTTAGTTTATATAATACCCTGCCTCCAGTGATTGTCAGGTCAAATACATAGGTCAAACTAGTGGAACAGGGGCAGTCAGACTAGCTGAACATAAAAACCTAGCAAAATCTAGATTGGTTGACCTGAATAAGATAAGAAATCTAGAGAATAGTTCAGCTATTTCACTCACTACATGGAATTACATGCAACCATACAATGGGATGGGATAAGATTACGGTTTTAAAATCTAATGTAACAGGGTGGAGGGAGAGATTGATAACAGAAGCTTTGTTTATCGAATCAACTACAAATACATGTAATAGGAATGATTCATCACCTGTCTATCCGGATATCTGGAAAATTCTACTACCCCTACAACGACAAATAGGATAAAACAAAGAAAACTATAAAACTCAAGTGTCAAAGTCGTGTGATCACAACTGATATGATTATGAACAATAAATTTTGTTCGAAACTGTGTCATCCAGTAAATAATACTGTTTCATCACTGTGTGATATATCTAATAAACAAACTGATATGGAATTACTTACTACCACAGTGCCCAAGCTTTACACATATGTTAATATGATTTCAGAATAATCAACGGTTTGTCTTCCTTTTCTAATTCTGGCTGTCTTTGATAACCCTCATCCGTGCCGCCATTAGTTAAGACGATGACACCTAGCCAGGTAAATGAAAGAGGTGACTTCCTTAGAATTTCTCCAGCTGGTGGTGGTCGGCACTTGTCACTGTTGTTGTTGGTTAAGTATCTTCATCACACCTGTCCTCTCTGTGTTCACTAGAAGCCCCGTCTTCACTGATTTTTATGCTGATTTATTGGTTTATGCCTGTAGATCTTTGGGTTTGTGTGATATTAAAGAGAAATCATCCTCAAAGTTCAAGTCTTCTAGATTCTTCTCGTAGGCCAAACGTATTCCTCTCTTCACGCTCCCCATAGTCTGCTATTTGATTCAATCTACCAAAGACAGGAATATTGTCAGTGACAGTAAGCAGCGCCGTCTTCACTTCAAAGGCTTCGTTGAACTATCTGTTGTGAATCACTTGATATGTGCTGTCACGATATAGCTGTTGGTTGAAGTTGGAGAAAGGTCTGGAGCACTCCATAGTGTTAAGGCAGTTTCCAAATCTCTTTCCAATCAACACGGTTGCCGGCTTTTTTCAAAGTTGAGTTTTGGTGGAGATATAGCTTGCTGACTTGATTCCATTTGCGGTGTTAAGTGGGTATTTGGTTTTCCATATGAAAGTGTGGTGAAATACCACCCTGAATTGTGTACTTGTCAAATAACTTATCACATTTCGGATGGTATCATAATATAATACTGATATCTTCAGAGTATTTAATGTTGTGAACGCAGAATGTTTCCTGAAGTGATAAAACTACGCGACTATTCAAGTTTTACCATAAGTTTAAAAAACGGCGATACTTCAATCTTATCCATTAGGCTATGGGGATAGAACGACTGAGATAAAATTAACCTGATGAAACCTAATTGTGGTTTTGTCACTTTTATAATCAACAGATATCTTTGGGTTGAAGATACTTTTCTTGTGAAAGACCAGTAAATCTTCACTTCAATAACTTATCCAACTAATCTTAATTGTGATAAGAAATAAATAAATAAAATTAGGTCAAATTTTCCCATTTTTTAATGAGATTTTTCCAGTTAAAATGTAGGATTTATTTGTTTATTTTGTGGCTTTAAACGTTTCACAGATTTATTCCACTTTTAAGTGCTAAAACAAATTCATTTTCTAAGAAATTTCATCATTATAATGGCTGAATTAATCCTGAACTCTAATTACTTCACTAGTTGTTTGGAGGTGAATATCAATGAAAAGCCTAAAATCCAATCAAATAACGAGGTCTGTTTCTAGTTTCC